GCCAATGATAGCATCACAACACTGATTGCCAATGTTGGAATCGCAACACTGGTTGAAAATGTGAGCATCACAGCTCTGGTTGCCAATGTGGGCATCACAACACTAGTTGCCAATGCGGGCATTGCAAAACTGGTTGGCAATGTGGGCATCACAACACTAGTTGCCAATGCGGGCATTGCAAAACTGGTTGGCAATGTGGGCATCGCAACACTGGTTGGCATTATTGTCATCACAACACTGATTGACAATGTTGGCAACACCACACCTGTTGGCAAAGCAGGCATCGCAAAACTGGTTGGCAATGTGGGCATCACAGCTCTGGTTGCCAATGTTGGAATCACAGCACTAATAGAAAATGTGAGCATCAAAACACTGATTGTCAATGTTGGCATCACAACACTGGTTGCCAATGTGGGCATCACAACACTGGTTGCCAATGTTGGCATCACAGCACTAATTGAAAATGTGAGCATCAACACACTGATTGGCAATGTTGGCATAACAACAATGGTTGGCAATGTGGGCATCACAAAACTGATTGGAAATGTGAGCATCAAAACACTGATTGGGTATGTTGGCATCACAACACGGATTGGGAATGTTGGCATCACAACACTAATTAGAAATGTGAGCATCACAACACTGGTTGGCAATGTTGGCATCACAACACTAATTGCAAATGTGAGCATCAAAACACTAATTGGCAATGTTGGCATCACAACACTGGTTTGCAATGTGGGCATCACAACACTGATTGGGAATGTTTGCATCACAAAACTAATTGGAAGTGTGAGCATCAAAACACTGATTGGGTATGTTGGCATCACAACACGGATTGGGAATGTTGGCATCACAACACTAATTAGAAATGTGAGCATCACAACACTGATTGGCAATGTTGGCATCACAACACTAATTGCAAATGTGAGCATCAAAACACTGCTTGGCAATGTTGGTATCGCAACACTGGTTGGCAATGTGGGCATCACAACACTGATTGGAAATATGAGCATCAAAACACTGCTTGGCAATGTTGGCATCACAACACTGCTTGGCAATGTTTGCATCACCATACTGCTTGACAATGTTTGCATCACAACACTGCTTGCCAATGTTTGCATCAAAACACTAATTGGAAATGTGAGCATCACAACACTAATTGGAAATGTTGGCATCACAACACTGATTGTCAATATTGGCATCACAACAATGGTTGGCAATGTGGGCA